CAACACCGTGCGCCTCCGTTCAACCAGTGCACCATTCAGCTTCTATACAGCAGGGAGGCGGTGGGGTAGTCTAGTGATTAAAGCGTTCGAGGACCCGGGTTCGATTCCCAACATGGGTATAATAAGTGAAGCCTATTTATGGGGTCCCCCGCTTCGATATGTCTTAAATATTGCTTAAAACGCCGTAAAACTAAACTCGCTCACTCAATCGCTCACTCATGCAATGAACACACAGACTATCGGTAATGCAACATCCGCCCCACTATATTAGCTTACGACTGCTGTTTCAAGTCTCATTATAGGTAGCACCAGAGGAGACTGGTATCAACAACAAGTATTTTCATGACGAATTTCACATTACCTTCCATGATGGCAGTAATCTTTTAGTTACAAGCTGTACAAAGGTTGCCAGAGGCGCTTCATACCAGCTTCATTTCACATTGCTTAATGTTTTGTATCCAAGTGCTAACACTGGCTATATCCACATCTGGACATTGAGGCACTGCCCTCACCCGATTCCAGAATCGAATGTGCCAGATCAATACTTGTAATCTCATAAATTATTTTATTCCTTTGACGAACTATTGAATCTCGATGTAATTACTTCGATCCGTGGAAATATAAAGTTTTAAACGATGTAAACGCAACATGCTCAACATTGGACGGCACATGTATGAATCACAGTAGTTGTCTCCTGACTGGATTTACAGTCTGTGGGCAATCTGGAAACTAACAGGCTGGCCAATAACAGCATCCCCCCTGACGATATTACTTAATATGGTTCCAACTATTTGATATAAACAGTGAGCATATTTCTACGGAAAGGTTTGCAGCATATGCAGCTTTTAGCCATGGATGTGACAGGGTGGTGTGACATGTCTCCTGCTGTTTGCTGTGTCGTGGGCATACTTCTGCTGATGTACATGTAAGTCCATGCATGTTAAAGTGAGTGAGTGAGTTTAGTTTTACACCACCTTCAGCAATATTCCAGCACTATCAGGGCGGGGAACACCAGAAATGGGGAATATTAAAGTCTAAATTCTTGATTTAAGAATGTGCACGGTTGGTGTAGCCTTGTGGTTAAAGCGATCGTTTGTATCCCGGGTTCGATTCCCCAATTGGGTACTGTTTGGGTGACTGATATTGCTGGAATATTGCTAAAAGCGGCACGAAACCGTAAGGGTTGTTCGCGGGTAGTTGTTAGAATCCAATTATATGATTCTGCTTGCTTAAGCTCTGCTATTATCACCAAGAATAAGCTTTCTTTTGTTGTAAGAGACAACTAACACGATGGTTGATGAGTTGTATTCCAACTGCAACAAAGATGACCATGGTATCAGTCGAAAGCTGAAATAAAGCAGCGTTAAACGAACAAACAAACAAACATCCTTTTGCCAGACTTATAACGAGTTACGCACCTGCGCCAAGCGTACTAAAAGTAATTACTTGTCTTCAGATATGGAAACTGGCGCCTGCGAGTTCTTTCTAGCGCTGGAATACCAGGACCCTCTCCAACAATATTCCTTGGACACTTCAAACAAACAATTTGCAAATAATGTAACTGGTTTTATAAACACATTAGTTAATTATAAGTAATCATATCTGCAATTTGGGTATTCATTTTGCAATATTGATGGTAAAATTCGTAAATTGTAAGTCGTACATAAATGTATACAACCTTACTTACGCATAGGTTTAAAGTATAAAGTTGACATATTCATTCAAATTTATAATAGATATAATATACTTGGTTCATGTGGATTGGTAGGGGCTTGTGGATCCATCACGCCGGCTAAGAAAACAATACGGAAAAGTGTACGGGTGAGTTGAAAACTGAATGACATAATTTCACACTTCTAAAACTATCAAAAGTAAACTCTAGGAATGAATGTAAATGTTCAAGCATGAACACAGTGGTAACACATATTCATTGTATCATTGTATATGAACCTTGTATTGAAGCATTATTTTAGATGAAATAAACTGGCAATTGCTCTTCTTTCAAATCGACTTTAAGTGTTTTGGTTTTCAGGCTGTACGTTGGGGCTCAACCATTCATAATCGTGCATGACATGGACATTCTGAAAGAAGTCCTTGTGAAAAAAATTTACAAATCGAAAGGTATGTTTTATAACAATATATCTTACCTACTTGTCGCCGTACGTCCTATTGTTCAGTTTGTGGGTAATAGTGAATGACAACTGCTACTAAAAGTTATGATTCTCAAACAGCATTGACGAATTTCCCACTGGGTTCTGTTGTACATTTTTTTTGTTATTCTACAGACAGGAATAATATTACAAATCTGTAAACGATAAAGGAGTTTACCATCGGCATAATATCAACTGAAAACGGGGTGGTTGGAGTGTGGACTATATGTTCTAATCATGCTGAACCGTGTCAGTGATAATACTGAACCTGTTTTGTGTTCTATAGTACTTCGTGGTGTAAGGTGTATTTATGCCTGGAAGAAAACAACACTTCTATAATGTTTTGTTTTATTGCAGACAGTGATAGATGTGAATCCGTTTGCATTTAAGTCAGCTCTTAGCTTTTCCAGAGATGCCCAGTGGTATAGACTGCGGAGGATTATGACGGCAGCATTCAGTGGATCAAAACTTAGACATGTAAGTACGTCAAGGATTAAACAGATGTATCCATACACCCGTGAAAATCCGGGTTAGAACTGGTATTCAGCAAACCATACTTGTCGGAAGAGATGAATAACGGGATCGGTGGTCAGGCTTGCTGATTTGACTGACACACATCATCGTATCCCAATTGCGTAGATCGATGCTCATGATATTGATCACTGGATTCACTGTTCCTGACTCGGTTATGTACAGGCCACCACCATATAGCTCTTGAATATTGCTGAGTGCGGTGTTAAACAGCTAACAAAGTATATACAAACTTGTTAACTATGGACGTCCCCGTCATAGTAGCGACATAATTGATGCCAGACACCGTTATGAAACTCGAGTAATGTGTGTTCTTTAATACAGATGTGTGGACAGATCAACGCAGTAGCAGCAAGATTAGCAGCGAACCTGGGCGTGGCTGCAGAGAAACAGGAACCATGTTGTGTGAGAGAGTATGTACAACGTAGAAAATGATAAACCCATGATCAAACATTCAACAAAATGGTCATGATTACAATATAGGTTCATACACTTTCCAATTTGTGAGGTTTGACATAAGTGTGGTTGGATGTGAAAAGAGTTCTGTCTCTATTAAGTGGAATGGTTATCAAATACTTCATCACGGTTTCATACGTGTTCACAAGTTGTTTTGCTCAAAGTTCAATTCACGCCCTCAGTAAAACATACAACATGTTTGGAGACAGACGTGTTGTGGACATTCTAAATTTGACCACTCAAAGGTAAAAATGACGTCTGCTGCAACGTGTAGTTGTACGTATACCATATGTTCCTGTTTATATTCCAATCCACATCTGACTTTGCCATGACTAGCGTGTGTTTTGGGGACAGGCGTCGCCGGTTGGGACTCGAGATAACCCGGTAGTATAACTATCTGAATACGATTAAAAAAACACCTACTTATGATGTACATGTAGCTGGAATTATACAATGAACTCTGCTCACAGCGGAGATTTCAGGAAGCTTTTACCTGGACACGCGGAGGACAATTCAAAATTTGATTCATCTGCAGCAAAACATATGTCTGATGCAATTTTCTATTGTGTACCAGGTGGCATTTGATTAGCCTTTGCGTGTGTTTATGACGGGCGCCACCGGCAAAACACATAGCTATAGGGTCTTTTTGAGAATAGCCGATAACATCACTAGTTGAGAGTGATTCATAAACACTTGCTCTGTAAATGAATCTCATGATGTCAATCACTGGATTGTCTGATCCGGGCTCGATTATTAACGGACTGCCGTCATACACCTTAAATATTTTGGCGTTAAGCATACCCAAACTCATCGTAGAGTCGGAATTGTATTCTGCTCTAGATAAACAGTGATTTCATATGGATGTGGAAAGGTTTTGCTGTTATTAATAGGATTATGGAAAGTCTTTTGTCGCTTTACATGTAATTCGATACCAATTGATGCCCACGTTTATTTTAATATGCTATACGGAAATGTCACATTATCTGTGAGCAACTTCAGCATTTCTTATAAATGTAAATATGAAACGTTCACAGTACACCACATTAATGACAGTACTTAGTCTTGCAAAAGCTAACAGTACAACAATGTTCTAGGGCATACTGATGATTATGTGACACTGACGGTTTATGAAATATTCCTACGCTCTTTTATCAGCTACTTCGTTCCGTATGTCTTGGACACAATTGCCAGTACAACCCTTGGGGTTCAAACAAACTCGCAAACGGACCGCCGCCATATAGCTGGAATATTGCTGAGTGCGGCGTTAAACAACAAACAAACAAACAACGGACCTGTATTATCACGGCGGGAACACCAGAAATTGGCTTCACACATGGAGCCATGTGGGGTATAGAACCCGGGTCTTCTAAAACTTCTAAAACTACACTCACTCACTCCAACTGTTTTAATTTCAGTCTGGTGGAATGAGTGAAAAGGTGGAGTCTAACCTCGGGAATAATTTAAAGCCATTGTTAAGCATGCGTCAGGACCATTTACTGAAAATACAAGATTTTTTCTCAAGATGCTGTAACTCGAAAGTCATTTTGTTCAAATGCGGGACTACACTTTAATGCGGTGTAACTGACACATTTATGATCACTGTTTTTCACAGCTGCGTTTCCAGTCATCAAACCACTGCTGAGGATTTGTAGAATGTATGCATTTGAAACAAGTGCTCTCTATTTCTTGGGAACATTTATAAAATCTATCACTGACAAACGGCAAAAGCAACCAGATTCTCAAGTAAGTAAATGTCCATATCAAGTTCTTGGGATAGTAGATTTGATTGCATGACAAAACCGTCCCATTATAATGTTTTTTGATAAGCATAATCGTACCAGAGCTTGCATTTTGTAGAAACACATGGACCTTCTACAAATACTGATTGACGCAGATGAGAACAAGGTTCACGAAGGAACACCACCCAGGCGTTCATGTAACCGTGAGTAAAAGCTCAAGTTGTCTTTTTTTTCGCATTCCTTGTCAATTTTCGGTGTAAACGTGTATGCCTGTGTACTTATAATATACATTTACTTGTATTTTGTCACATAAATTCAAACAGGGTTATCCGAAATGTCTTGACGATCATAATTTTGTGTCGCCTCCCGGTGAAAAATATTGGTTATTCTTTAGTTACACTTCAGATTTATTCAGTCTTTTATCCTCCAGATGTGTCATACCATGAAGTGTATGCACAGGGTATGATCTTCCTTGCTACCTTTGAAGGCTTGACAACACCCCTCTCGTTCCTTGCCCATGCCCTGGCTACTCACCTCGATGTCCAGAAGAAGCTGTTTGACGAAATACACTCAGTAATCGGTGATGTATGCGATTCTTATTATTATCCGTTAAAGGTGGTTTTAGATGTGACCTGTTGATGTCAATGTATACACTAATCTAGTTAGTGTTCTCTGCCGGCTGTTTATCATACATTACCATCACAACAACAAGGGATAGCAGTGTCTTTGTGTCGTAACGATCAGTGTCATTCCTCTCGACACCCGTGAAGATCCGAGTTAGAATTGGTCTTCAGCACGAGTGGTCGGGCTCGCTGACACATGTTATCGTATCCCATTTGCGTAGATCGATGCACACGCTGCTGATCACTGGATTGTCTGGTCAAGACGCGACGTTTACAGACCGCCGCCATATATAGCCGGAATATTGCTAAAAGCTGCGTTAAATATCAACCAACCATTGACACATGTGACCGTACAATTGCTTAGATCGATGTTCACTGGTGATCACTGGATTGTCTGGTCAAGACTCTACTGTTTACAGACCGCTGCCATATGTAGCCGGAATATTGCTAAGTTCTGCGTTAAACATCAACCAACTATTGACACATGTGACCGTACAATTGCTTAGATCGATGTTCACTGGTGAACACTTGATTGTCTGGTCCAGACTCGATTATTTACAGACCGCCGCCATATAACTGAAATATCGCTGAGTGCGGCGTAAAGCAGCAAATAAAAAGCAGCAATATCACGGCGGGGGACACCAGAAATGGGCTTCACACAATATAACCATGCAGGGAATCGAACCCGCGTCTTCGGAATCAGAGGCGACAGCCTATTCTATTTTATTTCTAGTTCATGTGGGTAGAGCAAAGGAAGAAAATTGATCCACAACTATCATTGAACGTTTTCAGATCATCGATGACGTTAATCGTCTTGACGAGTTTCCCTTAAGACTTGGCCAATCCGAGATTTTGACTCGTATGTATAAAGAACAGATCAGCCAGCATTGAGGGAAGAACGACTGACGCCAGTGGAGATGGCATTTCCTTTTCTAAATGTCTGATATTATCACTTTCATAGTATCACATTTATCAGTTTTTGCTGCAGGAGGACCCGACATGTGACAAAATACAGAAGATGGAATATCTTGATCACGTCATCAGGGAGATCCTCCGCCTTTACCCTCCTTTCACATTGTAAGTAGAATGGATACATACATACATACATACATACATACATACATACATACATACATACATACATACATACATACATACATACATACATACATACATACATACATACATACATACATACATACATACATACATACATACATACATACATACATACAAGACCTTTAGTATGAAGAGTATGTGGTAATTCACAGCCATAAGATCACCCTTTACGATGTATTAATACTTGCATTAATATGTAAAAGGTTCCCGTTTTGACCCACCGAAATAACTGAATTAATAGCGCGCCTTGCTTTAATGCAGCTTTCTTCAATATATAAGACAGATTACTGTGGAGAAGACTCTTGCATGTTTTACAAGATCAAACAACGTCATGCCATAATCTCCGAAGTGATAACTTTTGCTTACACAATAAATGCCTTATTTCATGAAAAAACAATTTTACTGTTTGATGCATTAATCTCCGTTTACGTGCGTAATTAACGGCTGTATCTACAACTGACACCATAGATAGGCTATAAATTATGTTCACAATGAAATGCCAAGGTAACTCTACGCAGACCTGTATCTTGTCCAACAGCAACAATTTACTCATCTTTGGATTTGGATTTCTTGTAGCATTGGTAGAGAAACAGCAAACACAGTTACCATCAAGGGTTACACTTTCCCCGAAGGGTCAACTGTTATCGTACCATTGTTGGAGATACAGAGAGACCCAGACTACTTTGATGAGCCAGATACCTTCCAGCCCGATCGGTAGGTAAATCCAAAGATTTTAGTTTCAGTTCATTAGTAGCCATACATACATGCGTATAAGTGAGTGAGTGAGTGAGTGAGTTTGCATTGAATGCACTTTGATTAGAATCAATCGGCTCCCGTGACAGCATGAAAAGAGATGATGCTTTAGAAATGTTAACATCTTTGGGGCGAACAAAAGAAGAAACACAGGGCAGAACCGGGGTTCGAATCCATGATCATGATCGGCCGCTCCGAACAACGAATGGCGAATGCCTGGTACACCTCAATTCTCTTATGTCATGTAGTAGTCACAATCGTGGTGGATGAAGAAGGTAGGTGTTTAGATGACGTAGCAGTAGTCTGGATTTATATTATCATTAATAGTTATGGTTGATTTCGCTGAATTTCTCAATCATCGCTGACATTTAAGGAGGTGGTGTAAATATATCAGGGGTCCATGCAGGTAGCATGTAAGTCCACATGGTCCCTGGTATGGTGATCTGCCTTCAGTTTCTGGTAATCTATTGCCCGTTTTTGTAATGTGTCGTGCACAGAAATACCGTGTTATGGTTAAGTGCTAGTTTTATAAACTCACAGGCAAATGTAACGCAGGTCAAGTATAAAGTATGTATGTAATTTTCAACATTAAATACTAGAAATACAAACAGGTCAACTAGACAAAACATTGAGTGAAGATATTTCATTGGCTAGCAAGACTGATGACATCATTAAGTTTTCGAAAGGTAAAGGGGTTGACAAGAACGGAACTCGCTGGTATTGACGGGTAATGTGTCGATCTTGTCTAGGGGTGGTGACCCAAGGATGACCGCTCCGAGGATTGCATTGTATCGAGTCTGGAGATCCAGCATCCAAACGTCCGACAGCCTGGTTTCTTACAATTTGAGTTAAGCGTGGCATTGTTCAACAAGGAGTGACAGACCAAATTTTACTTTTGTTCAGTCTTATACCCACTAATTGTGGTGACAATTCGTGCATGTTCGATTTCACGAGAAGTGTGTGCATGATACCCACATGTTCATTTGTATGGTGCGTTTGGGTGATTCCTTCTATTGATGTGTTTTACTCGGGCCTTCCAAAATGCAACAAACATTATTGATAACACCATCAGGGTTCACTATATGCCAAAAACTCATATCAATTTAGGGTTCCGAATTAGTTTCCAATTTGGATAAAAAAAACTTGCGTTTCTTATGCGTGTGAGTATATATAAATCTGTGATATTCTAGTTATTTTACTGTCCTTTGTTGTCAGGTATATATGTATCATTTACGTTCGTATATAGTCCCGATATGACTTAAATACTCACTCACTATGGTTGATTTTAACAAAAGTAGTAGAATATGGTGGATGAAAGTAAGCATTACAATGATATGCTAGAGCAGATATACCAGAAGAAATATTAGCATTGAGATAAAAATTTTAATATACTGAATGTTTGAGAAATGTAATATACTTGGCGAAATGTATTGTGATGTTCAGGGAACATGATTAAAGTAGAATGTAGAGGATAAGTGATAAATTTGTGTAATATATACATTATATAGCCATAGTTAATCTGTTCCCCACAAAGAAGAATGAAAACAGATGATGTTGCTCAAAGTATCTGTTTTAGTGCCAATTTCAGTCGAAGACAACAGTATCACAAATGACGTATTTGTTTGCTGTTGTAACAGTATAATTCATTCTTTGTTCGTCTTCAGATGGAAAGGCAGCATCAACCCACTTGCTTGGCTTCCGTTTGGTTATGGTCAACGTCAGTGTATCGCAGTCAGACTCTCCATGCTTGCAATGAAGATTGCCGTCATCCATGTCCTCCGAAGGGTTAAGTTCGTCACGCAACCTGATGTGCCTGTAAGGGCTTCATTGATGTTTCTTAATTTGCAGTCCTAGCAGGTTTCATCAGGTCATAACGGTGTGTCTTTGTACTTATTTCGTTGGTCGGAAAAAAATCCAATAAATCAATACAAAGATTATGTATTGTAGAATTAGCTTCAAAGATTGCCACAATCATTAATACTACCCGACCACAACTGGATGCCTATCGTACATTAATCACTTCTTTCCTCAACGTCCTATTACGAAATCCCGCACAGAAGTCCAGCAGTTCTCGTTGTGTTCTGCTGGTGACAGTTCAATATTCAATGAAATCTACAAAACCATTTCCATATTCATAACAAAATCCTTAAAGGTCATGAGAATCCACGCCATGCTAGATATTGTATAGGTTACAGATGTTTTAAACATAAAAAACATGACATGTTTTGTTACAGAAGTTGCTGGAGTTGGAGTACCCAGTCACTGGACTAATTGTGCCAAAAAGGTCAATCAAGCTGAAGATTGAACTCAGGGACCACCCTGAACATTACATCGGATAAAACCTGGGTCAGCATGCATTATTGTATTCTTGTTAAAACCTGGATCAGCATGCATTGTGGTATTCTTGTTAAAACCTGGATCAGCATGCATTACTTCCTTTATCTTATGCTTATATATCGGACATGGTATGATATGAGACTTGCTTTGCCCAATGGATCCATGTAAAACTTTATAGACTACGTTCATTTTACAACCGGTATATTTTAGATTAAACTATATGACATTGTGAAGTAAACATAAGGCTAAAATGTGTCGAAATGTCTTATTTTAGACGTTATCATGAAGCGTTTGTCTGACGTCTAACATTTACAAATGTAAAGAAGGAAACATCACGTTGTTCTATGAAATATACCTTCTACATGCGTTTATTATAAAATATTTCCAATTTCACCAAATGTATTCTTGATATACTCCGCCCATTACATAATTCACTGATCGCTATGCATGTGTATTCTTTGTGTTAAAATTGATAAAACGATTAAAATTACAATCAACGTACACCCAGATAATGACATAATTATATCATTTTATTTATTTGCATGTGACACCGAAAGCAGAAATGCAGCATTAAGTACATCATATCATGCAGGTTTACTTAATGTTTGTTTGTGTGTTTGTCTGTATGTTTGTTTCTTGTTTTATGCCGCACTCTGCAATATCCCAGCTATATGGCGGCGGTTTGTAGATAATCGAGTCTGGACCAGACAATCCAGTGATCAACAGCATCCCGTTAGCTGCCATTTACGACAAGCATGGGTTGCTGATGACCAGTTCTAACCCGGATCTTCACGGGCTTAAAGTATATGTCATGTGTTTGATGTACAAATACCTTTTCATGGCATACATGGTTGCACTGCGTGTCTTATGAAAGGTTATGAGCTATCATTTTAATAAACAAACCCTTGAAGGTCCGGGTTAGAATGAACCGCCAGTGAGTGAGTGAGTGAGTTAAAATTTAACGTCACATCGGCAATATTTCAGCCATATCGTGACGAGAACAATTAATTGTATGCATAATTAGCAATGGCAAACTATAAAAAACCTGTCAACGAAGGACAGTAAAATAACTAGATTATCACAGAGTCGAATTTAAAACTAGCAATCAAAACTAAAACAGTCTAACTATAGATGACAATACAAGGTAAAAACAGGCTATATATTGCCAACACCTGAAGGTAGATCACCATAGTAGGGCCCATGGGGACTTACAGTACATTTGCTTCCTGCATGGACCCTAGCTGGATTTACACCATCCCCTCAGCTATTAGCAATGTTAGATAATCTAGCCATAAAGTAAACGAACATATATTCTACGATTAAAAGAGTAGTAGGTTGAAATTTACTTTGAATGTTTTGGGACTTACGTACCGAACCTCCACTAACCCATACTTGTCGTAAGAGGCGACTAACGGGATCGGGTGGTCAGGCTCGCTGACTTGGTTGACTGTCATCGGTTCCCAATTGCGCAGATCGATGCACATGCTGTTGAACACTGGATTGTCTGGTCCAGACTCGATTATTTACAGACCGCCGCCATACAGCTGGAATATTGCTGAGTGCGCCGTAAAACTAAACTCACTCACTCATTCTAATAAACAAAATCCCACTTCATATATTAACCCATTTATTCTTGTTTCCTTATCAATTTCACAATTCTCTGAGAAAAGACGTCGGCAACAGATGGGAAATAACGAATTATTTCACTAAAAACTAAAACATCTAATATAATGATTCAAGCTAAAAGTACACCTTTACATGTACATAAATGCTGCATTCATTTCACAACATGTTTTCTCACACACTGTTTCACTCAGCTTCATAAACATCGGCACAAGGAGAGAGATATTGCTGAACCACCAAATCCTTGTCTCAAAGATTAACCATAATCCTTATTCACAGCAAGTATTTGAGACAAGCGGAATTAATACCGTGTGGATTCTCAAAAACTCAAAGGACATTTTTACAATCTCAGAAACGGACCGAATTCCGTTCTGTCGAAACATTTGATTTTTCAACGTTGCAATGACAAACATAAGGGAAAACTTCATTCCTTGATGAATGAGGCATTTGTACACAAGCGTGGTAAACACAGATATACCTACATATCTGCAGTACAACCAGCAATTATTGAGATTTTAAGATTGTGTTGTTTTCGTTGTTTTCACTCATTACTCACGTATTAAATGTGAATATAAGCAGAACATAACTCTAGATTCAAAGACAGGTGAACAGTTAGTAGTTTGTCAAGTCACCATGGGCAGCAATGCAGGCTTCAATGCGGCGGGGCATACTGCTGATCAAATAAGTTAGAAAGTCGTGGTCCATACTGTCCCAATATCGGACCACCTCTTTCATTTCAGCAATATTTGTCAGATTTTTCTAATTGAAACTTTCCTTCATAAGTCCCCAAGCACTTTGTATTGGATTTAGGTCAGGGCTATAGCTTGGCCAATCTAATAATGTCATATTTTGGGTCCGAAACCAGGCCTGTGAATGCTTTGAACGATGTTTTTGGGTCGTTGTCCTGCTGGAAAATCAAACATTTTCCATAGATCACGTGAGCAGATGGAAGTAAATGTCCCTCGAGACTATCTGTGTACCGCTCACTGTTCATACTCCCTTCAAATACACAGAGGGGCGTTGCCCCTAACACAGATATGCCACCCACACGTTAAATGTCGGACTGTACTTTAGGCGCTGATATAAAGGTTTTTGAGTTTGTTTGGTCCGGAATTTCAGTGTATTAGGAAACAGCCACACAGAACTTTCATCTGAGAAAATCACATTGTCCCAGTTAAAATTTCTATGCTGTAAGCACCAGTTCAACCTTCGCTCCTTTTGTTCAGGTTTCATGATCGGAGATGGAATTCCTCGACTTTTCTGCCAACCCATTGCATGAAGCTCAGTTCTTATTGTCTCCTTACAGACAGCCACAGTTCCTCTATCAATCATATCCAGCCTTAAGTTTTCTAAACTCCTTCGTTTGTTTTTACAAACAAGAATACCAAGCCGCCTCCTGTCACCGACAGTCAATTTTCTGGGCCTACCTGCGCCTCCCTGGTGCTCAATGCCATATCCATTTGTAATATTTTTCAAAACACAATAAACAGTGGACTAAGGGATGCCTGTTCTACTTGAAATCACTTTAGCTGTTCTGATGTCCTTGTTATAATACTCTAAAATCAACTTCCCCTTCTCTAAATCATCCATACTTAGGATCACTGAAAATGTTGTCTGTTAGCAAGTAACAAAGGGGTATAACTCTTCACAAACTAATGAAAAAGGATTAACGAAGTTATCTCTCTTGAATGAAACCAAGCACTTGATAGCTTGTCAAGGCTGTTTATACTAGAAATCTAATTAAACATATTCCTAAAATTCTCAATAGTTTCTGGTCATACTATATTCATGAGCTTCATACTGCACTTGAACAAGCTCACGATACTGCTACAGGAGCTGAAAACATTCATTATCAACTTCTAAATAACTTACCGGAATCCTGTTTAGAGACACTACTGAATATTTTGATGACGTATGACTCATAAATTTCCTTCAACTTGGCGTGGTGCTATTGTTGTGCCCATACCTAAGCATGGACGTGATCATACAGATCCCTCTAATTATAGGCCTATTTCTTTGACTAGCAGCGTTTGCAAAACCATGGAACGCATGGTCAATAGCAGATTAACTTGGTACTTAGAGTCAAATAACTGACAGGCAATTTCAACCCTTGTCTGATCATTATAATCAGGATCGGGGTGTCCCACAAGGCAGTATTTTTTCTGTCACATTGTTTAGTATTTAGATCAACAGTTTATCCAAGGTGTTAAATGATTCAATCGATGGATCGATGCATACTATTGAACGACAACTGCAGTTGTGTTTAAATAAAATATATAAATGGTGTCTTGAAAACGGCTTTAAATTTTCTAAATCGCAAACTAATTGTATACATTTCTGCCGTAAATATAAACCACATAAGGACCCAGAACTAGTTTTAAATGCCTCTCCCATCAAAGTTGTTAAGGACGCTAAGTTCTCGGGTCTAATTTTTGACTCCAACTAAACTTTTCTGCCACATATCAAATACCTAAAAAATAAATGCCTGAAGGCACTTTACTTGTTAAAAATTGTTTCTAGTTCAAAGTGGGGAGGTGATCAAGCTACTCTCCTCCATCTATATCGATCATTGGTCCGTTTCAAACTTGATTATGGCTCCATCGTCTAGGTTTGAGCCTGCAACAGCAACCTAAAACTATTAGATTCTGTCCACCACCAAGGTGTAAGACGTTGCCTTCGGTCTTTTAGAATTTTTCCTGTTGACAGTCTCTAAGTTGAGGAAGATGAGCCTTCTCTTGCACAACGCCGTATAAAATTATCTTTATAATATATTACCAAACTGTACTCTAACGAGTCTAATCCTGCATTTAACTGTGTCTTTAAGCCTCTTTATGAGAATTTGTACAATAAGAAATCTCTCGTTTCTCCTCTTCCTTTCTACTGCTGGCATTGAGCTGGTAAATAAAGCTCCTTCCCGTTTTCTTTCTTCTCCTCCTTGGCAATTGGCGAGGCCACAAGTTGATCTAACACTGATCACGTTAAAAATTCATGCAATAATGAATTACAATACAAACTAGAATATAATCAATTAACAAGTAAATATCATACATACAAATTCATATTTACTGATGGGTCCAAGGACGGTGGCGCAGTGGCTTGTGCTACTGTCATTGGATCCAGAACAATCTTTTCTAGATTACCAGGTGATAGTTCAATTTTCAGAACCGAAGCAAGTGCCATATTAACAGTGCTTAAATATATTAAAAAAACATCCTAAATATAAAGAATATGTCATTTTTTCAGACTCTCTTTCGTGCCTTCAGGCTATTAAAAATCTTTCTTGCAAACATCCACTTTTAATTGAAATTATTGAATTATATAATGGTCTTGCTACTGGCCAATACGACCTCGTCCTCTGTTGGTTACCCAGCTATGTTTG